TTCAGCAGTGAGTATTTAGATACAACATAAAAAGCACAACCCATGAAAAAAAAATTGATAAATTGGACTTCATCAAAAACTTCTGCTCTACGAAATCACTGTTAAGAGAATGAAAAAGACAAGCCAAGGATTGAGAGAAAATATAAGAATTCTTACAAGTCAACAATATGAAACAAGAAACCCAATTAAAAAATGGGCAAAAGATCTGAATAGTCACCTCACCAAAGAGGATATACAGGTGACTAACAAGCACATGAAAGATGACCAGCATTATGTCGCTACGGAATTACAAATTAAACCAACAATGAGATTCCACTCCACACCTATTAGGATGGCGATACCAAATGCTGACAAGGATGTGAAGCAACAGGAACTCATTCATTGCTGGTGAGAATGCAAAATGGTAACAGTCTGGCAGTTTCTTACAAAGTTAGATAGTCTTATCATAGGATCCAGCAATTGCTGTACTTAGAATTTACCTGAATGAGTAGAAAATGTATGTCCATGCACAGACCTGTACATGAATGCTTACAGCAGCTTTATGAATAATTGCCCAAAACGAAGCAACCAAGAAGTCCTTCAAAAAGTGAATGGATAAACAAATGGGTACAGCCATACAGTGGAATATTACTCAGTGAAATGAGCAATCAAGCCACAAAGCCATGGAGGAAACAAGTGCATATTGCTTAGTGAAGGAAGCCAATCTGAAAGCCATACCGCATGATTCCAACTATGTGACATTCTAGGAAAAGCAAAACTATAGACAGTAAAAAGATCTGTGGTGCTCCATTTTAGTGTGTTTCCACATGTGACTCAGCCTTGCTGACAGGGAGCCTGGGGCTCGGTGAGATAAGCCTGCATAGTGAATGCGTAGCAAAACAGACACTAGAATTGCAACCCCTGTGTTTGTGGTGGGCAGGTGTGGCCCTGTGGCCCTGTGGCCTCAGGGGCCTGCTGCGGGTCTCTGTGCTAAGGAGCATGCTAAAATGCATTTGCAGAACTTAAAAGGTGATGAGAGATCAGCTCAGAGGATCCCAGCCCTAGCTAAAGGTCAGAACCACCCAGAATACTCTAAGAACTACAAATAGGGACAATGAGTTCCAAAGAGGGGCAGGAAGAGGGAATGGACTGCCTAAAACCCAAGTTATTAGAAGCAAAACCAGGACTGGATCTCTAATCTCTGATTCCTGGTCCAGTTCTTTAAGAATCACTTTCTTATTTAATGTCATGATATTTTTGGAGTTCCTATTTGCCTAGCACTGGCTTAATGACAATGCATGCAACAGATTAGTCCCTGACCTCCTGGTCCCTCCACATTATCTGGAAGATGTGGGTAGCAAATACGGGGGTTGCGCACGGTCTCTGAACGTTAGATTTCACTAGAAATCTTGAGCCCTGCCCCATACATTCTGCCGTGGAGTGCCCCACTGCGTGCTAGGCTCTGTGTCTGATGGACATGATGGCAGGCGTGAAGCACTCTGTTGTTCAGCCATGTTCTGCCTCCTGCACCCGAGCCACTTCTTGATATGTGTATAAAATAGGTCCTGGTCCTAGTGATGCCACAGTTTGCACCTTTTTTATGACGATTTACAGAATCTCAGGTCTCGTCCTCATCACTCTTTAATGGCCCTAAAAGGGGTCACCAACAGAGATAGCCCAGGGTTAAGGTGCAGAACCCCAACTCTATCGAATTTATGCTTAGATCTTGGGAAAGCTCCGGAACCTTTCTGGGCTCATTCTTCTCATTGGGAAAATGGGTGCCATGATACCTGCTCTGGTTACTTCACTGCATCATAAGAAGGCCCCAAATCACAGTGAGAGGATGTGCATCAAAGTGCTTAAGTGGTTAAGAGTCCTATGATGGTGATGAGTGGTTTTAATTGCTGTAACAGCCAACACTGAGTGTTCATATTGGGCCAGGAGCTGTTCAGCTATAGCCTATCAAATAAACTTTACAAGAACTTTGCAGTTTTCGTTTCCCATTTTAGGGATGAGGAAATTGATGCCCTGACAGGTTAGGTTACTTTCCTAAGGTCTGACAACCACTGACAAAGCTAAGGGTCAATACTGGGTTTGCCAGCTGACACCTGAGTTCATATGCTTAACCACCGTGCTTTACTGCCCACCTGGGTGTAGAACACTTAGATTCTGGTCCTAGCTGTGCTTTCTAATTTGTTGGGTAAGTTTGCCCATCTATAAAATGGAATGGAGAAGAAAGTCGTTTTGTAAAACTCTGATGTCTAAAGGGTCAGAGGGTCTGTTCTCAAATGGTTTCTTGCATTGTATCGGCCCCAGTGGTCCCCTCCCCACCACAGAAAGGTTTGGAGCCATCCAGGAAGACAGTTTAGGGCTTAATGGGGGGAATCCAATGGAGCAGAAGCAGAAAGCCTGCAGAAGAGAGGACACACATACATACACACTGCATCACACCCAGCAGCTCCTCCAACCTGCGCTTTGATCACCCCAGGCTCAGCCCTGCTTCCCTGGATTACTGATTGAGGTGATTCTTCACCAGACCCATTAAGGCGACCAATCTATGGTCATCAAATAGCTCTGGTCCCATTCCCTGAGCACTTCCCATCACCGGGTGCCATTCTGACTACAAGGTCCAACGGATCCAGTCAGTCCCCTTCTCAAGGAGTTTGCTGTCTCCTGGGGAAGACAGACATGTAAACAGCTAATGCTAATGCAAGTACACATGAATATGCAATAGGCAGAAACAGCCTTCGTGCTCTGGGAGCAAAGAGGGAGGATTTGCTGGAAACCCTGAAAGTGGTGTAGAGAGTAGGGGAAGGAACTCTGTTGAAGGAACAGTGTGAGCAAAGACATGAGGTATGACATGCAGGGCTCTTTCTCTGAAGGGCAAACAGGGCAGTGAGGTTAAATCCAAGCAAGTCCCAAGGGAGACAGAGAGAGAGAGAGATGAGGGTGGAAAAGAAGGTTGGGGTTTGGGGCCAGACCATGGGGTCCTTGAATGCCAGGATGAGGAGAGAGATGGCCTGGGGAAGGAAGTGTGTGAGCCCTGGGGACTTCTACATGGGGCCAGTTGAGCGGGTGTCCTGACTCATACCAAGAGAGGACGTGCCCTGAGTTCACCCCTCAAACAAGCAGCATCTTACCCTTGAAGCTTTCCCAGCTTGACTGCTTCCAGCTCTGCCATCCTTCCCTCCCCCAGCCAGTCTTATAAGTGGATCCAGATGGTCATTCCTATTTTAGGTCGGGGTGTGTGTTGGGGGAGGGGTGGCTATGAGCTCTATCAATCGTTTCCTGAGCTCTGTTAGAGGAGCTTCTTCCAGGACCCTGCTGTGATCCTCTGAGCCTGGAAGGGACTGTTAGTCTTTGATGGAGATTTCCCATCTGTCTGTGGGTGATAGGGGTGGCAGCAGCACAGGAGGCAAGGGCACAGGCCAGGGAACCTTTAACATTGGGTAAGAGAACCTAGGTAACGTGTACATGTGGGAGGGGGTCCTGTGACGGGCTGCGAAGGGGAACAAGCCTGGGAGAGAGGCTCCAGACGAGTCAGAGAAAGAGCTGGTTTCTCCCTCCAGGTACCTGGCCCTCCTCATGCCCCTGCTTCTGCAGCTGCCTAGGCCAAGGAGCTAGGGCTCTCTGGTCAGACCCTACTGAGCACTGTGCCTACCAACATCCATAGGTACCTTAAAAATCTTGGGGCACTGCAAGGTAGCAGCTGACAAGCTAGGTTCCTGCTCTCAGACTGTCTATAGCTAGCATATGATACATACCAAGCTTATAACTATTTGCCATTCATTCAGTTTAGCAAATATTAAGCAAATGCTATGTGCTAGACACTACTAGGCATTGGGTTTACAAAAGTGAACAAGACAAATACAGTGTCTGCCCTCAAGGAGTTTCCAGCCTAGTAGGGGAGTCCAACAATACACAGCCACAAATGTGCTACAAAGGAAAAGAACAAGGTATTCCAGGGGAGATTCACAGGAGCTTTCCAATTTAGATAGGGAAGCCAAGGAAGAGATCTCTGAGAAAGTGACATTTAATCTGCTACTTGAAGGATGAATGAACTTTACCCAGTTTTGGAGGGAGAAAGGGCATTTCAGGCAGAAGGGAACAGTGTGTGCCACGTCCATGGGGTATACAAGAGCATGGCACATGAGAGGAACTGAAAAGAGGCTGTAGGACAGTGAACAAGTTAATAAAAAAAAAAAAGGGCATGATGCAGGGCCTTGTAAGCATGGTATATTTGTGTTTTATCCAAAGTACAATGGGAAACCACTGAAGGTTGTCACATTAAATGTGGTACTTGTGTTAGTACAACCAAATTTGTGGCAGGCCCTAAGAAAGACTGACTTTGGTTGTGTACTCATCCCTACAAACAATAAATGTTTAAAGGGCACCCACCAGCCCTTTGCTAGAATTATGGGTTGACAGTGATGGCAGAGGAACGTCTAAGGTATAGACCTTCCTCGGAGACCCTCCAGAAGAGATGGAACAGCTACAGTGATTGAATCAAGATGTGATTTATTCATTCAACAAACAGGCACTGCACACTTAATCTATTCCATACATGTGCCAGATGCTGGTTGTTGCCCATCAAGAATCACACACATGGGTCACAGAAGAGGCATAAACATACTCAAAGAATTGTGAGTGGGTTAGAATCATTTTCAGCTGTGATACCTGTGAGGCCTTTATAAAACATCCAGTCGTTCTGTAAATCAGTAAACATCTAGTGGGCATCTGCTCTGCACTAGGAACAGTGCTAGCTACTGAAATTAAGGACCTTAGAGTTCCATAACAGAGATAGATACACACCCCCAAAATGCATTAAAATATTAGGTTCTAAAAACAGGAGAGCAGGCTTTCTATAGATCAGTGTTGAGGGAGGGTAATTCAATGGAAGAAAAACCTTCCCCAAAAGGCATATCTCCCACCTTCCTCAGCGGATTTATCCATACCTCCCACTAGCATGATTTTTAGCTGCTGCCTTCCTTCTTTGTCCCCCCATTTTCCCTTCCCACACCAGCAGATTCCATTTTCTCTGTCTATCTTGGCATCCGTAAAAAAGCCCAAAGAATCCAAGATTTGAGCCTGGCTTCTTTATAGAATGTGATCTCAGACAATTACTTTAACTCCCTGAGCCTCAGTTTTCCCATTTGTACAATGAAGGGATCAGATCACATCTAAGGCTTGTGATTTACTCCAGCCAAGGTGATATTCACACTCCTGCACACTGCTCTGCAAGGCCTTTCTTTCTTTGCACGGCTGCACGCATCCCTTCAGCCCCATCCCCGAGCCACCTGGCAAACATCAAGGCTCAGCTCAAATATCTTCAGGCAAGTTTCCCCTATTTCTGCACACACGCCACACACTGTTTTAGTCTATCCTTCCTTTATGCTACCACTACCTCGCAAGAGACCACAGAATGAAAAAGGGAGAGAGACTTCGGTTTGAGTCGTGGCCACTTACCTCACCTCTTAAGCCTCAGTTTCTCACTTGTAACTTGAGGGAAATACCTAAATTCGCACGTCTAAGCAGTTTATGGGGATTAAAACAATGTATGTCAAGTCAAGTGCGTGGCACCTAAGTCGCGCTCAATAAATGGAGACTGTACCACAGCTCTTAGGAGCCCTCAGCGTACTGAATTACAGAGTTCTAGGTCAGTCTCCCGCGCTAGACTGCGCACTGCCTGAGGGCATCCTTTCCGCTGCGGTTCAGGGCTAGCGCGAACCCCCCGAGGCTGGCGGGCGCAGAAGGAGGTGGGCCGGGCCAAGAAGGACGCGGCTCCTATTCCCGGCGGGAAGGCCAAGCCTGGAGGACCCCACCTTCCGGAAGTGACGCCACCGAGCGACCGCCGCTGGATCAGGGGCAGGCCGGAGCGGGGCGCGCGCAGCATGGCGGAAGCGGAAGGGAGTTCGCCACTCCTGTTGCCGCCGCCGCCGCCACCCCCGCCCGGGATGGCGGAAGTGGAGGCGCCGACGGCGGCCGAGACGGACAAGAAACAGTTTAGCTGTGCTGGCAGCGGCGTCATGGACGTGGAGCGGAGCCGCTTCCCTTACTGCGTGGTGTGGACTCCTATACCGGTGCTCACGTGAGTCTCCTCCGGCGTCCGCCCGGGGACTGGGAGAGCCGGGCCCGCGTGGGGTCCTCCGGCGGCCCGGGGCCAGCCTCCGGCCCCGACACACAGCAAACCCTTCCCGCGGGTCCGGGGTTCACCAGTACCCCGCCACCCGCGCGGTGCGAGCTCTGCTGGTGAATGGGACAAGCTCCCCTCCCTCATTACACCTGGTCTGATCTGAGAGAAAGACAGTTGTTGACCGCGGAAAGGTACTGAGGCTGGGAAGCTAAGGACCTGTGGGCGTACAGAAAAGGGGCTCCTAACTGGGTGTGAGAGAGTCATCTTCATTCACTCACTGGCTTACTCATTCGTTAAACAAATGATTGCTGGTCACTTCCTATACGCAAGATATCCTGCTGGGTCTGGAGGCAAGAGTGGGAGTTTGATTGGGACCACACCGACTCCTGGGATGTCGTCATTGGACGGGCCCCCAGCGATCTGGGAGTCCAGTCCTTTGTCTCACAGATGAGGCTGAAGATCACACACCATCTCAGTTGCAAAGCGCATTTAGGTCCCAGGCTGTCTGCCTTCCAGACCAGGGTTCTTTCTATGGCATCAGCCTTTGTCAGAAGAGAAAGCAGGTGCTCCAAAACTGCTGGCGCCTTTTAGCAAGGAGCTTGGGGACGAGGAGGGGGGAGTAGGGAGCTGGTTTTCCCTCGTGCTTCAGCCTTGACAGCTGATAATAACCACTCCTCACAGTGCTGGACAGTTGGCCAAGCTCTTTCACACCCATTTCCTCTGAATTCCACAACCACTTTCTAAGGCAGGAATTATATTCTCGGATGATGAATTTGTACCATTAAATGTCTTGATCATGTTCACATGACAGTAAGCAAAAGCATCCCAAACTCCGTTTTCTGACTCCATAACTTGCTCTCGTTCGACTACATCCTGTCCCCTCTCACCTGACGAATAGATTTGTTCCCTGTATCAAAAACAGCCAAGTGGTGTGGAGAAGGGATCATTTTTGTCCTTATATGTTGCTGATCCTAAAATGAGCTTAATTCTTGTATTATGTTAAAATACTTCAGTTCTGTTTTCAAATGCTTATGCATTTGTTTAAGAACACCCAAGTCTTGGACTTCCCTGGTGGCGCAGTGGTGGTGCAGTGGTTAAGAATCTGCCTGCCAATGCAGGGGACACGGGTTCGATCCCTGGTCTGGGAAGATCCCACATGCCGCGGCGTGCGCCACAACTACTGAGCCTGTGCTCTAGAGCCGGGAACCTAGCTACCGAGCTCACATGCCTTGAGCCCAGACTCTGCAACAAAGAGTAGCCCCCACTCACCGCAACTAGAGAAAGCCCGTGCGCAGCAACGAAGACCCGACGCGGCCAAAAATAAACAAATAAATAAGTAAGTAAATAAATGTATAATTTAAAAAAAGAACACCCAAGTCTGAGTCCTTTCAAAATAAAAATTTTAAGAAAGTGTTTTCATTGATTAATTCAGTATTCCTTTTTTTTTTTTTTTTTTTTAAATAAATTTATTTATTTATTTTTAGCTGTGTTGGGTCTTCGTTGTGGCGCACGAGCTTCGCACTGCAGTGGCTTCTCTTGTTGCGGAGCACGGGCTCTAGGTGCACAGGCTTCAGTAGTTGTGGCTCGCGGGCTCTAGAGCGCAGGCTCCGTAGTTGTGGCACACGGGCTTAGTTGCTCCACAGCATGTGGGATCTTCCCAGACCAGGGCTCAAACCCGTGTCCCCTGCATTGGCAGGCAGATTCTCAACCACTGCGCCACAAGGGAAGTCCCTCAGTATTCTTTTTAACACACCTGCTAAGTGACTCCTATGTGCCTAGAGTAGTTCTAGGTGATAAGAATATACAGTGGTGAGTAAAGCAGGTATGATCCTTGTTCTCACAGAGTTTAAATCATGGTGGAAGGAGATAGACAGTAAACGAGTAAACTAATAAAAGAACTGATAGTGAATCGTGCTATGAAGAAAGTGTAAAATGTTAATGTGAGAATAACTGGGAGGGAATGTATTGGTTTTGATAAAACCTGTCTTGTTATCCCGAGATCTCTTTGGTTTTTCCCTGTTCTCAAAAACACGTTTGTGGAGTCCTCTGCTCTTTGGAGAGCTGGTAGCAACATTGAGTGGAGGCACCACGATCCCCAGTCATCTGGGCCAGAACCAGCACACACCCCATTTCTATTCAGATCTATTTACAGGTGTTCATAAGATGAATAAGGCCTACTGCCCCATCAGAAGGCTCATGTTCCCATCAAAGGACTTGCCTTCCAGCAGGAGAGAGAGAGACAGGTGAACTCACCATTGTAGTACATTGTGGTGATTGCTGACCTAGAATGCAGAGCTAGGAATAGATGTAGCACAAGGAACTGTCATTGATTTTGGAGGTGGTGGGGGTGGATCAGAGAGGAGGAAACTGAATCCAGAGATCTGTCTGTCCCCTCAGAAGTGTTGATAATTCTGCATGAAAAGCCAGATAACAGCTATTGCTACTACTAAAAACAGCAAAGATTGGATACTTACTCTGTTCTGGGCTCTGTTCTAAACATTTTACATTCACTGTCTCATTCAGTCCTTTTATCAATGTAATGAAAATAGGTACTGTCATCCTCATTTTATAGATGAGGAAATAAAGGCTTAGAAGCCAGCATAGGGCTTTTTCCACTGAAATAGTCTACCTATACCAGGTGGAGCTCCAGAGTCAATAACTCATTCATTCAATAAATAGTTCTTGAGGACCTATTATGTACTAGGTCTGAGTAGACAGTAGTCCACAAAGCAGCTTTGGAGCTTGCCTTCATGGAGCTTCCAGACTGACAAATACTTTGAGAGTTTCTTCTCTGGGGCTTCCCCAGGCGCAGACTCTTCTGTTGTCTCCAGCCTTTATTCTACTTCCGGGGAAGCCGTGGTATGTGGAGTATTGGTCAAACCCAGACCTTCTCCCCAACCAGATGAAAGGAATTGAGGGTGGGAGGGGGAGATGGGTCTTGAGATTAGGGCCTGAGAAGCCAGAGGAGCTACTTTCCCATAGTTCTGAGTGTCCATCCTGTGGCCACAATGAGTCTAAAGCAACTTATTGTACGCCAGCCAGTCCAGCCAGTCAGATAGCAAGTATTTATTGTAAACCAAATGATAACAACATTGGGCAACTACCAAGTGCAGGGAAGTGTCATAAGCATTTTGCAGGCATATCCTGTTTGATCCTCACAATCGCCCCCCCATTGAGGTCATCATCATCATTGTTCACCTCTCACTGACAGATGGGAGTGAGTGCCTGCCCAAAACAGTCAAGACTCAACCCAGGTCTGACCTCAGAGCCTGACTCCACTCTTAAATGCATGATATTCATTCATGCATCATTTAGTCAGTGACTGCTTAGCTCCAGCTATGTGCCAGGCACTGCCCTGGGGGCTACTCTAATCAATAAGAGAAAATCCCTGCTCTCTCAGAGTTTACATACTAGAGGGGAAAGACAGTAACCATGTAAGTAAACAAGATGATTGCAGATAACAGTAGATACTATGACGAAATTAAAGCAGAGTAATGGGATCTGGGGTGCCTGGGGTTGTGTGTGGCTACTCTAGAAGGCACTGTCAAGGGAAACCTCCAAAGTTGACCGTTGAGCTGAGGCCTAAATGATGAGAAGCTCTAGAAGAGTGTCTGGGACGAAGGCAAATGTAAAAAAAAAGCATTGAGGTGGGAGGATTTGGTGTGTCTGACGAACCAGAAGTGGGCAGTGTAGCTAGAGAGAAGAGTGAGGTGACTTCAAGGAATAAGCAGGGCCAGACTGTTGGAAGGAGTTTGGAGTATAAGTGTAATAGGAAGCCCGTAATGGATGTTAAAGCAAGGGAATGACAGAATCTGGATCATGTTCTTAAAAGACCACTCTGGGGAATTCCCTGGCCGTCCAGTAAGGTTGGGACTCGGCGCTTTCGCTGCCGGGCGCCCGGCTTCAATCCCTGGTCCGGGAACAGATCCCGCAAGCCATGCGGCACAGCCAAAAACAAAAAGACCACTCTGGCCCCACCATCCTTCCAGGTGCTCAAGCTGCAGACCTGGAAGACCTCTATCCTATCGTCATAAAACTGCCCAGTCTTCCTTTTAAAGATCTTCTCAAGCCATCTGCTCCTCACCTGACCAGTACTCTGGTCAGGATCACCATCTTCTCATGCCAGTATTCCAGAACAGTCTCTGAACTCCTGTCTCCCTCCCATTCTCCAGGTACATGCAGCACTTTGCTGCCTTGGAGTTTTGCTTTCTGCCTGTCAACATCCTGTGCTTTCACAGGTGAAGGTTAAAAGTTACCTCCTGTGTGAAGTCTTTGCTGACTCTGCCCCAGCCCCGTGTAATTGTTTCCTTGGGCTATATCTCTGTGGCTTTCGCCTCCACCTCCCAGCAGGCAGCCTTCAAATCAGCACGTGGCTGCTGGCCCTGGGAGTCCTTTTTTCTTTTTTTTCCCTGTGAGTCCTTCTTAAACTGGATCAGTCTCTCCAGCACCTAGTTCCTGTAGAGCCATGGTTCTCAGACTACAGACAGACCCGGAGTTCCTATGCGTTTTGCATATCGGGGTCCAACTGAGATTTGGATTTTTCTAAATGCCCATGGCTTTTAAAAATTCAAACTTTCGACTTCCCTGGTGGCACAGTGCTTAAGAACCCCCCTGCCAATGCAGGGGACACGGGTTCTATCCCTGGTCCAGGAAGATCCCACATGCCGCGGAGCAACTGAAGCCCGTGCGCCACAACTACTGAGCCTGCGCTCCAGGCCCGCGAGCCACAACTACTGAGTCTGTGTGCCGCAGCTACTGAAGCCCGTGCGCCTAGAGCCCATGCTCCTCAACAAGAGAAGCCACCACGATGAGAAGCCCGCGCACCACAACGAAAAGGTAGTCCCCGCTCGCCACAGCTAGAGAAAGCCCGTGTGCAGCAACAACGACTGAACACAGCCTCTCCCGTTGTGGAGCACAGGCTCCGGACGCGCAGGCTCAGCGGCCATGGCTCACCGGCCCAGCCACTCTACAGCATGTGGGATCCTCCCGGCCCGGGGCACGAACCCATGTTCCCTGCATCGGCAGGCGGACTCTCAACCACTGCGCCACCAGGGAAGCCCTAAAAAACTTTTTAATTGAGGTATAACGTGTACCATAAAGTGTAAAAATCTTAAGTATATGGTTCAATGAATTTTGCACGTGTGTGCACTCATGTCACCCAGGTCAAGAGAGAGGATGTTTCCAGTATCCTTTGGGCTCCCTTGTGCCAGTCCGTTCTGCCACAGAAATAACCTCTCTTCTGCCCTTCAGCACAATAGATTAGTTTTGCCTTTTCTTGAACTTAAACAGAATAATATGCATGCACTTTTATGTAAGTTTTCTTTTACTCTGCCTTGTATATGTGAGAATCCATGTTGTGCGTAGCAGTTTATTATTTTTCATTGTTACCTACTATTTCACTGTATGACTATACCCCAATTTACTTACCCATTTTACTATTGTTGGACATTTGGATTATTTCTAGGTTTTTTTAATCAACGTTATTGGGATATAATTCACATACAATAAAGTGCATACATTTTAAGTGTGCGGTTCAGTGAATTTTGACAACTGTTGTTTCCAGCTATTTTTTAATAAAGGTGCTGTGGACATTCTTGTCCATGGCTTTGGTGGACACAAGCATTTGTTTCTGTTGGGTGTATACTCTGAAGTGCAATTGCTGAGGTAGAGGGTGTGGTACCAGTTTTTGAAAGCTGTGGAAACAATTCTCCTAGCAGCAATGAGAAGAGAGTTCCAGTTGCTCCGCCTCCTCACCACACTCAGTGTTGCCATCCTTTGAGTTTAGCTGCTCTGTGGGCTGCGCCGATTCCTGGCTCTGCTGCTCACTTGCACTTGCCTCGCTTCTGTACTTCCCCTCCCGCTGCCGCCACCCTAATGGACACTTACCACACAATGTTATATTCATATGCTGTCACTCTGGATGGAGTGTTCCCAGCGTCTGTCTGACCACCTTTCCCTGTCCTTTTTTTCACAGGTGGTTTTTCCCCATCATTGGCCACATGGGCATCTGCACATCCACAGGAGTCATTCGGGACTTTGCTGGCCCCTACTTTGTGTCGGTGAGTCCCCATTCTGCCCCCCTCTGTAGGGTTCCAGGGCTCAAGTGGAAAGCTAGCCTATCTTGCCCACAGGCAGCCTTCCTGTCTCCCCAATATGCAGGAGAATGCAGACGCCATGCAGTCCTGGTCCGGCCCTCTGCTTCTCACCAGTGTTTGACCCCTTTCCCCTTTCTCTTGCCTCCAGGACAGGCCAGGAGGGCAGTGTGGCCAGAAGGATTCTTAAGTAACTGACCCAGCCCTTTGCCCACCCCGGGGGTACCAAGACATGGGTAGGGTTAGAGGCAAGAGTGGAGAGTCAGACCATCCTGGTTCCTTGGTCCAGGAACCAAGTGTCTGGACCTTCAGAAGGTGGTAGTCACAAGGCGGGGGCACAGGGGAGGCTGACATGGTTCCCTGGGTGTGGCCATGGAGAAGAGGGGGCGGACCTTCTAGAATGAACCAGCTATGTTCTCAGGTCTGTTCCCTGGGGATGTGCCCGAGATAGGGCAGTAGGCTTCCTCTCCATCGGAGGCTGGGATGAATGGGCGGCACCAACCTGCTTATGTTCATATTTGTCATGATCATCTTAACACCATAAAGGTCTTTCATACCCATTACTTCACTGTCATATACGTGTATGATAATTCATCTTTGACCAGCTCTGTCAGCAGATTCTGAACCCAGAATCTGTCCCTTTGTAACTCCTGTACCCCACATCTTGTGTGGCAGGTCTAGGACTTGGCTAAAACATTCCCCTCGTAGCAGGCCTCTTGAGGCCCAACCGCTGTGTCTACCCCACTCACCCCAACCCACCCCACATCCTGCTTTGACTGCAGTCACACTGCCAGATTCTGTGTGGGCCACCACTGTCGGGTCAGGAGGTCTGAGGGTGTCCTCACTCACACCACGAAGGAGACCACTCCCCTGTGGACAAAGACCAGAGATTGATCAGAGAACCTGGAGAAAACAAGGCCCAGAGAGGGTGAGGGAATTACTTGGCAGCCACAGAGAGAGGCAGTCATGGCTGTACCCCAAGTCTTTGGTCTCCGGGTGCAGTGCTCTGTGCACTCCTGCCACACTGCCTTCTTCACACAGAATAGCTGCTGCTGGCCCTTCAGATATCCCGCCAACCCCAGAGCAGGGTCCGGGCTCCACTTCTGCCCACCCACCTTACCTCCTTCTAAGTCACAACACTTCCACCACCAACCCAGGTCTGTCTGCTGGGCTGGATGTGGGTTCCCCACTGACCTCTGCTCTTGTCCCTCAACAGGAAGACAACATGGCCTTCGGGAAGCCTGCCAAGTAAGTGATGAACATCCGTGTGATTGGCCCTAGAGCCAGGTTCCTCCTACCTGGAGCAGCAGGCCAGGCCTTCTGGGGCACAGCAGGAGCCAGCAGCCTGAGGATGGGGTGAAGGGGGGCAGCCAGGGTCTACCAGAGCATCTGACCTTGTACCACACATCTCCTGCTCCAGTCCCTGGCTGGGTCCTTTATCCACAGGCCATCTAGGCCTTGCCTCAGCCCTGCAAGGTCGTGTTTTCAGCTCCATCGGAAAGGTGAAGATAAGGAAGGGACTTGGTCAAGATCACACAGGAAGTGGCAGAGCTGGGACTCACATGCAGGTCTGTCTCACTGCAAAACCTGGACTCTTTCTCCTGCCCCTCAAGGAACAAACACACCATTTAAGGTGTAAGGGAGGCATGGTTTGGAGCTCTGCTGGAAAGTTCTGTTTGGAGAGAATAAAGGCAGTTTAGTCTCTCCTGGAGCTATTGCTGGTTTGCATGGGATTTGGGAACTTCATTTTTTCTGTCTTGGGGGCCCACCTCAGTTGTGGTGACAGTGCCTCAGTCCTCAGTCTGCTCAGAACAGCATCAGATGCTCTGTTGCCCAAGGCAGCATCCAGGAGGGTGGAGCCCAAGGAGGAGCTGGTGTCCCACACAGCATAGGCGGCCTGGAGCTGGGCTCTCCAAACCCTGCTGACTCCCTCAGGCAGGTGGAGATGTGAGCCGGGGGCCTCTGGTCTGGGTGTCTGCTGCCAGACTGCTCCTCAGCGAGAGTTGTGAGGACACCCGTTTCCAGGCAGGAACCCCTGAGCAGCTGAAGTCCCGGCCACGGTGGTTTCTCACTGGTCCAGTCTGTAGGCTCCTCTGTCAAGCCATTCCCCACATAGCAGCCAGAGGGCGCTCTGACCTCCCAGTGCCCCCTGGCCCAGACCCTTTGGGGTGTCACCCGGCTTGAGGTTCACAGACTTTAGCTCCACCAGCTATTCTCCCATTCACCCTAGTCTCCCATGTGGGGAGATGGGGAGAATGCTTTCTGACGGATGAACTCCTCAGGATGACCTTCAAGTCCCCCAGAATGTGGCCCCCCTGTATCTCTAGCCTCACTTTCCAACATCCCTCACCCCGTTCTTCCCTCTGAATCCCCCAGCAGTGCCCAGTTTCTTAATTTCTGGTACACACTGCACAGTTCTGTGCCTCTTCCTCTGTTCAAACTGTTCCCTCTCCCTAGAATATTCACTCCCCATTCTGCGCTGGGCTAATCCTTCCTCCTTCGCACCGGACTCAGGTGTCACGCCCAGGAAGCCCCTCACGTCCCTACTGAGTGAGTTCATATCCTCCCCAGGATCCACATGGCGGTGGGCATGTCACACTGTTCCAGTTGTCTGCTGTGTGGCCCTTTCCCTGGAGCTGGCTCACCCCTGTAGCCTCAGCACCCAGCTCAAGGCCCTGCACAGAGCAGGCGTCAGGTGACATTCGTGGAGCTGAGCCAGTGCCCAGAACCCCTTTTCCCCCCTCAGGTACTGGAAGCTGGACCCTGCTCAGGTATATGCTAGTGGGCCCAATGCGTGGGACACGGCTGTGCACGACGCTTCTGAGGAGTACAAGCACCGCATGGTAGGTGGGCTGCTTCTGAGGGCGGGAACGAGGGTGGGAGGTTTCCCCGCAGCCCATCCTGACCCAGGCCATCCTGCATCTCCAGCACAGTCTCTGCTGTGACAACTGCCACTCACATGTGGCCTTGGCCCTGAACCTGATGCGCTACAACAACAGCACCAACTGGAACATGGTGACTCTCTGCTTTTTCTGCCTGCTGTATGGGAAGTACGTCAGGTGCGCTGCCTGTCCCCCTGGCCGCCGCCACCCTCCCCGGGGCCGCTCTCCCACGGATCCCAGCGGGGCCATTTCTGGGGTCTTTCAGCCAGCAGGGACAAAGCAGGAAAACAACTAGCTGAGCTCCTGGTGAAGAGGGCGGTGCTGTCTGAAGCCCAGCTCTGTCCCTTGCTCACTGTGAGATCTTGGGTAGCTGCCTTGGCCTCTCTGAGCTGGAACTGTCCTTGGTAAAATGGAGATAATGATTCTGGCTCCTCAGGGATGCTGCGTGTGTACAGAGCCCTGTGCTCAGGTCCAGTGAACAGGTGGACCCTGAGAAGAGGTTGGGTGACCCCATAGGGTCCCCTCCCAGCATCCCTCATCAGAGGCAGGGTTCTGGGCGGGTGGGCCCCAGTGGTGGCCTGGGAGGACCTTTGAAGTCCCCGCCTCATGACTTACGAGGTCAGAGGCCTTGGTCCCAATTCACAGGTAAAGGGAGTTCAGAGAGGTGGAGTGACCCTCCCACCGGGGAGCCAGCACACACCTGGGCTAACCCAGCTGCTTCTCCAGGCTTTCTTCCAGCTGTGCTCATCATCAAGAGCTTCTGAAAAGGAGATTTTCAGGGTCTTTTTTGGTCCAAAGGCTTTTAGAGGTCTCCTGGGAAGACCTTATCTGTGGTCACACAGAGACTGAGGCAGAGGCGGGGTTGAAGCGGGCTGAGCCATAGCCCCATGCTAACTCTCACCGACCCCTCCCCGCCCATTGCGCTGTGAGCAGAGGGCACTCCTGGCTTCCCCACCCAGACTGAAGACTTCTGGGTCCTCTCGCTGGCAACCTCTCCCCAGACACAGGGGTGATCGTGGATGGAGTCAGGAAGGCCCAGAGGGTGGACGTGTCTCCTGTACCCACCCAGCGAGGTGTCACATCTCCACCAGGAGCCTGGAACAGCCCCTGCCCAGGACCATAGCTGGTGCTCCTCCACAGCGGGCACCAGGCCTGGCCCAGTCCCTTAGTTGACTGAGTTTGGGGGTGAGGGGGGTAGTTTCAGGAGCTTCCTTGGTGGGAGCGGCCCCGTCTGGGTTTGTGGGAGGACAGTGTGCCAGACCACATGCCAACTCACTGGCCCCTTCCCTCCCATGCTCCCCTCTCTCTCCATCAGCATCGGCGCCTTCGTGAAGACCTGGCTGCCCTTTGTCCTCCTCCTGGGCGTCATCCTAAGCGTCAGCCTGGTCTTTAACCTGCGGTGATGGCTGCCCCATGGCCCTGGGCCCACCAGGCTCCTGAGGAGGCAGCCGCCATCACCTTTCGTTCCAGATTCTTTCTCCTCGCCCCGGAAGGCAGGGATGGGCCCGCTGGTTTTGGCCCAGGGGTCTGGGCTAAGTGGGGTAGAATAAGGGCTGAGGATGAGCATGGGGTGGAGGTGTTTGCATTTTGTGTCTCACTGGTCGCTCAGAAGCTCCCTGCCCCCTCCTTCCCAGGCTTGTGACTCCCACCCTTGAGGCACCCTTTGTTCATCTGTTGGAAAAGCCTTAGCTTCCCTCTAGAGCTGTGTCTGCCACTGCCTGCTGGGCTCCCTCTGCCTCAGCCCAGTGCCTGGTCGGGGAGAGAAGGATATTTGGACCCACCAGACAAGGCAGCACAGGGACCAGAGCTGGATTTGAAGCCCATTCTCCTGCCAGGACTCTGGTCCCAGGGTGGAGGTACACTGAGAAGTCTGCATAAACTCAGCCACCCTGGGGCCTTCTCCACTGGCCTCTAGAATGGTCCAGAAGGGCTGACGGGCCCCCTTCAGATGTCTGCCAAAAGCTGCACTAGGGGTAGTTTGTGCCCCACTCCTGGCGGCCGCCAGCCCATGCAGCCCCCTCTTCCCACTCTCCCAGGGCCTCCAAGTACTTGGGCCCATCTCCCCCCTGCAGTCTGGGGCCTGGGCTCCCCCAACCAGGCTGGAGAGATGAGTGACACTCATGTATCCAGAGTGACCCCTGCAGATCAAAGTGATGTAACAAAGCTTGTCCTTGGCCCCAGGTACGGGCCTCGCACTGGTGACGGCACCCCTTGGGTCTGAGATGTCGGGGGGCCGTCGGAGCATCCAGCGCCATCAGGTAGCTGAATGGGAGCTGTCTCCTCCCACCTCCCACGGCTCCCCCTTCTCTTCAAGTTGTGGGACAGGTCTGTGCTGCCCCCCTCACCCCTGCTCCACGGATTCCTTTGTGCGGGGCTCCCTGGGCAGGACAATAAAGAGTTTTAACTCCAGACAGTGCTTGTCCTTGATTTCTCCCTTCGGTAGCCCCTGGTTTCACTGAAGACATGCGCTCCCTTCAGCTCCTATCTTCGTAGTGAACTTGGGTTCCTCTGCCCCCGGCAAGGGGTCTGGTTGCCAGGGACATGGTTGGGTCCTCGTCCAGTGCCTGGAGCTTGCAGGAGCCAGCATCCCTCGGGTGTATCCTGGCCTGAGCCAGAGCGCTGCGAGTTCCCCACGCCTCGTCCACCATCCCAAAGCTTTCTCCTTGAGGCAGGCGAATATTGAAACCCCTCCCATATTCCCTGTTGGGAAGAACTTGGCAGTAGGTTTGGGAGTCAGTGCTGACAGACCAGGGCCCTGGACCCGGCCCCCACCATATCCACTGATCACGTTGCCAAGCTCCCCGTGCTCACCCCCAGTGATCCGGTCGCTGCCCTGCTCCGTGGTGCCTCTACTCCATGGCCCTCGGGACCCTGCACTCTCACTCTCCATGCCTCCCACTCTCTACCGAGGTAGGGCAGCACCTGCTCTCCAACACCCACCCACTTCTGGTCCTTTGCTTTCCACCTGTTGAAGTCATGCCCTTCCTTCTGAAGGCCCAGCTTAAAAGCCACTTCCTTGGTGAAGTCTTTCCTAACCTTGCCCTATGCCAGGTATAGGGCACTTTAGTTGAACTAGCAAAGGATTTGGTCTCTGAAGCCTGAGAGCCCTTTGTGTTCACCCTGAGGATGGCCTTGGGGACAGCTCTAGCTGCGGCCCTCAGGGCCCTGGATCAAGTGTCCGTCCGCTCATCCCAGACCCTGCGGTGCTGTGGTTTCCAAGCCTGGGGCTTCTCCAGGGCATGACAGAGGTGGCCCCTCCTCTCTTCAGAGCAATTCCATTTTCAAAAATCTGCCTATGAGTCCACCTAAGGGTTGGGGTTAAATTCTGGTATGGAGGACACCACAGCAAAATGGACAGAAAAACTTTAAGGCCTGTTTTCACCCAGCAGAACTTTAAAGCAGCCGTGTGGTGATGGGACATAAACAGGTGCCATAAAAATCACCAACAGTTACTGAGTGCTCACCATGTGCTAATAAAGTACATTTATCCTCACCACAGTCCCATGAGGTAGGTGCTCTCATCCCCATTTTAAGATGAAAAAAAGCACTGAGAGGTGACGTGACCTACTCGAGGTCACAGAGGTAGGACGAGTGGAGCCATGTTGAAACCCAGCAGCCAGGCTCCAGAGCCGCCATTCGGAACCACCCTGCAAGGTGGCCCCACTGGAGCACACGAGGGAAAGTGGGGTGGGTCTGTGACCGACAAGAAGGGAGAGTGGGCGCTGGAGGCAAGAGAAAGGAATCTCCTTACGACAGTCCCAGGAGATGGCTGCCATTGTCCCCTGCTTCATAAATGGAGAGAGTAAGGCTTACAGAGATTGTCACTGATCCAAGGCCACAGGCCATGTGGCAGAGTCAGAATTTTAACCCAGGCCTGGGAACTCTTAGCCAGGGGGTGTTGCCTGGAGACCAGCCACGGTGCAGAGCATCAAGGCTCTGCAGGGGTTGCGACGGGTGGGGAAGGCATTCTGCAGCTGAGGAGCTAGGAGCACAAATGGGTCTGGGTGTTGAAGGGACAGGAAGCAGAGCCCGTAGGTAGGGCTCTAAGGACGTAAGAGACAGGAAATGAGGACCAGTCAGAGCTAGGCAGGGTCCTGAGGGTTGGGTTGAGAGGCCAGGCAGCCCAAAGGATGATGGACTGTCTTGGGAGGTGATGAGACTCCTGCTGGTTTGGAGTAGACTTGTTAAAGGATCAGGGGGTTCCCCTGGTTGTCTGCTGGCACCTTCCAAAGCTGAGGAATGACAGCTAAAAGTGGGATGCTGAAAGGGCTCTCTGACAGCTGTGCAATAAAGGGCTGGGGCGGGGTGGGGTGCTGAGTGTGGAGGCCAGGAGACAGGGAGGAGGAGGCTTCCAGGAGAGGCTGGGCAGGGACTGAAACCTGGGCAGTGGGAGGGTGGCGGAGGTGGGGGACAGATGGGAGAGAGTCCAGTGAGTGGCAGCAAGCATTAGGAGGCCTGGGGGCCAGGTCATGAGGGCTGTTCACAAAAGTGGAAACTTGGAAATAGGAGAAGTTTTCAGGTGGGGAGGATACAGAGGAGTTGGGGTTGAGAAGACAGCAGGAGAGGGGTCCAGGAGAGTCACAGAGGCAAGGACAGGAGATCAGAAAGAGGAAGGGAGTTTAGAAGCCAGAAGAATAGACAGTGAACTTTGACGCCTTCCATGGTGAGAGCCGAGAGGTGGGAGGGTTAGAGAAGCATCCTTGGGAGGAGCCAGGATAGAATGATGGGAAGGGGTGAGGGTACTGTAGGCCACTCCTCTCCCAGTCCGGGAGACTTGACAGGGGAGGCGGACATCACAGTAGCCGTTCCCACAGTGGATATTCAATGGCTATTGCATCTACGAATGCATATACCTATTTATTAAGGGCTGGTAGGGGTCTAACTGAACTGTAGTGAGAGCCATCAGAGGAGGGATTATTACCCCTATTTAATAGATGAGGGGAAAGAGGCTCAGAAAATAAGACTGACGTGCAAAAATAAACGGGGAAGGCTGGACCTTGGGCTGGGGGTGGAGGAGGGACCCTCCGGGGCTCCGAGTGGTGGTAACGTTCCGAAGCCGCTTCCGATGCTGGGGAGGAGGAGTGGGGTAAGTCCACTCCTTACCCACCTCCCCTCTTGGGGGTCTGTGAGGTGCCCTCTGATCTTTAAGCCATGGTGCAGGTGGGGCAAGACAGGCAGATTGAAATGCAGACTTGGGGGCGTCCGGAAGCTTTGCTGTGGCCTCGGTTCATGGTCCCAAAGCAAATGTAATCCAGGGCCCAACCTATTCTCAGGGTGGGGAAGAACCTGGGAGCAGAATGGGGGGTGCTCAGAGGGGCTCCCCACGGACAGAGGGAGGGTATGGGAGCCTCACTTTGGCCCTGGAAGAGTCCAGGTCTCCTCAGACAGATGGGGCCCAGGGTGGCAGAGGGGACAGAGGGCAGCTCTGCTGAGGCCAGCACTTCCTGGGAGGCATATGTGGACATGGAGGGGACTCTGTTGGCCCGGGAACACCTGGTACCTCCTATATGCCAGCTTGTGCCAAGCACTTTCATTTCCCTCAGAGGCTCTTCACACTCTGCTGCCTGCAGTTTGCACGGGAGGAAACTGCAGCTCAGAATGGCTGAGAGACCTGCTTAAGGTCACACAGTGCCACAGCTGGAACTATTCAGGGTTGTCTGGCTGCAGTCTGCAATCCTTCCACCACCCTGGTTCTCAGAAACGTTTCTAACTTTGCTTTCAAAGCAAGTTCCTATCAGCTCCTTAGTGGGCAGGGTGGGGCTGCTGCTCATTCTACAGATGGGGCAACCAAGGCTCTGAGGGGTTGGGGCCAGCTCGGGTTACAGGAGTTACAGAATAAGTCTGCAGAGGAGCTGGGGCCAAGCCCCAGGCATCTCCTACCCACCAAACCTGCTCTGGGGTTGCTGAAAGCCCAGGCCGCGCCACTGGGGAGCCGGGAGTCCAGGCCCGGTTTTGCATCAGGCCCTGTGAGAAGGTGTTTCCTCCTCCTCAGTGGGGCAGCCACTCCGCTGGGCTGCCGGTTGAGTCAGCCTTAGGCCCTCACTGCTCTTCTGGTCCCTGAAACTCAGCTGCCAGAGGACCCGGGGTTATCCGACGAAGGTGTCCCCTCCATACTGGACCCCTACAGGTAATACACTTTGGGGCCAGAGGGCCCCTGCCAGTGTCCTGAGGGGTGGGCACTGCCACCTGGTGTCCTGAGCAACCTGTAGGACCCAGGGGTCAGGGAGGTGGAACGTGTCTGGGGCTGGAACAGACAGACAGACGGACAGACCCTTAAACTGACCAATGGGTCTGTCCCATAAGTGTTGAAACAGAGTGGGGAAGACCAGACACTGGATTCTGCCTCTGGAACCAGAGGGAACTGCAGGGAGGGGTGTGCTGCTGGGGACCCTGGGCTCAGATGCCCACAGCCCAGCCCAAGCAGACCTCAGGACAAGGGCGGGCAGGGTCAGTTCTGTGGAACGTCCCTCCACCTCCATACTCATACACACACACCTGGTGGCCCCCAGGGCACCAGAGTACACACCACAACACACAGCCCAGTCACGCATACACACATGCACACACACCCCACCGCACTCTCGCCCAGAAAGTCACAGAGCATATCACACAGACGAGAGTCCCCCATGCAGCACCACGCTGTGACATGACGCCCAGACACACATGCAGTGATACAACATTCACAACAGAGACTCACAGTGGCACCGGGTAACACAGGGGCAGCCACACAGGCACACACACCAGGCCCCAGAAGAGCCCTAAACAGTGCGTCTGCAACACCCAGGACCTGCACACAGTAGATGTTCAGGAAATGCTGTTAACATCGGTCACACAGGCATTTCCACAGTGTCATACACTACACGACACCCGATAGAGAC